TGAAGCAATCAGAATGACTTTCATGTTATGTCTGCAAACTTGGGTTGCCCCTTTTCTGTATTTCTGTATTTTTGATTTTATTCTCTATTCGGGTAACTACAGCAAGGTGTAGTTCTTATAGGCATTTAGCAAATAAAAGCCTGTTTCTGCAACAATTAAACCAGATAAAAGTTGAATATATTTTCAGGTATTTCAAAAATACCTGAAAAGAGTAGCTAACTCATAAATCTTGTTGTATAGCCAAAATAACTGCTTGTTTGTGGTCTAAACTGTGGATTCTAATAGAATTTGTATGTATGCGTATACTTAGTCTGTGATTGAGGGTGGAGATCACGAACAAAACCTCTTAGAAAGAAAATTCCCTAACATCAGCAGCTGGCCCAAAGGCTACTGTGTTACTAGGCTGAATACGTAATACTCAAAATTGAGTTACGACTAGAGATTTGTACAGCCTTAAGTGCTAACTTAATGCTTCTCGGTGTTGCCTTCTTGGTCAATCTGTTTGCAGGAATGTCTTATACAACAAGTGTGCAGTGCTTTACATGTGTTGAAAACGTTCAAAGAAGTCAGTTGATACCTGGAGACTTTCAGAGCTCTCTAAGTACCTTCAGGTTCTCTGTTTGCCCAGAGCCATTTACAGTTTGTTTTCCCTCTTGACTAACAGCAAAACCTGCCTACAGGGAGACTGTTAAAACTGACAAAGTTGCTGAACAAAAATCACTTGTATCTGTATTAATCTTCAAGCTGCTTTATGTTAGGAAAAAAGATACAATTAAAAGTGCTGTTAACATGTTAGCAAACACCAATACTGAAATTTATCTCGTCATGGCTAATTTAAATGAAAACACTCACCTTTTTCTTTCTCCAGGTTCAGCTGTGTTTTATGTATGTACAAGAAAACAGAAAGAACAAGCACCAGCCCCCTGCCCCCTGTTTACTTTTAAGTGTGAATTCTGTTGGTTTAAAGATAAAAGTAAATAGATAAAGTAATATCACAATTAAGAAGGCAGGGCTACTGTTCACATTCAGGTTAAAAACAACTGCTTTTAGAATAGCTTATACATGGGTTTGGAAGTATGTTTTTGTTCCAGTAGCATCTGTTCTTTTGCTGTAACTGATCTCTATGGCAACCTGAAAAAGTTTTAATATTGTCTGAAAAGACTGAAAAAGTGTACAGATTGTAAAGATTTTATATAAATTGTAAGATTTTAATATTTATAATAGAGAAAAATATTAAAATTGCTCTTCATGCCTCTAAGTTTGTATCTGAAATCTAAACAACTTATATTCATCTTCCATTACTGTCATCTGAGACCCTTTTGCTGGATTAATTTAGTACCAGTGTCTTCACTTTCTATGAGCCATGGAACATTGCCCAAAAAAACTATGAAGCTAGGTATTTGCAGATTATTCTTTTGGTATTTTAGTGGTTGACACAGTACAGACACTGTTTTGCTACTCACTGTTCCAGGAATTACAAAGCACAAGTCTTTATTATCAGTCTCTTACTTTTTGTTGAGAATGCTAACTTGGAGAAGAGTTCACAGCACAACAGCCAAGTTTAAGCAGAGCTTGTCATACTGTAATGCTACTGCATGGGCAGCTTTGTAGCACCCTAAACACCTGCTACTCTTTACTTTGTAGTAAACCTCAAAATACCTTGAATTTGGTTTTGTATGGGTAAGGAACATTCATTCAGCTATCTTCAATCCTGTAAGGGAAGACAACAAAAAGTGCAACTCCTGTTTCTATGCACAAATATGCCCTTCGGCCTTGCACATACTAAAAAAGTTGTGGTTTTCTTCATAATTATAGAAACTAAACAAAAAGGAAAATTCAGAAGCAATTAGGATATTTCCTTAGTTTATGTAAAGACAAAACTAATGATCATATAGACCCATGTGGTTGTTTATTTACTAGGATAAAATGTAACAGATTCCTTAGTAATCCAAATGTAACAGGGATATACTTGTGACATACCCTGTCTGTTAAAATTTTTCTATGAAGTTATCTACAGCCTTCTCCATTTTGCTCAAAACATATCTGTTATTTTTCACTATCACAAAAAGTAAGCTCCATTTCTACTGTAAATCACCAGCAGGA